AATGAGCAAAGAGATAAGAAAACTGTGGATAATGACAACAAAGTGAGTGTAGTTGGTAATGGCAAGAGCGGAATATGGAAAGGGGAGATGGATGGATTGGAAATCTACTCCAGTCTTCAAAGCACAGGAGGAGGAAAGAGAGGAAAATTGACGGAGATAAGGAGAGAAATCTTCAGAGAAGCACTAGCAACAACCAAAGATAAGCTGACGGAAAGAGCAGATGCTGGGTTTCAAGCTTTTATGAGATACGAAAGGAACAACATGTTGAGAAGAGAAGTTCATACAAGATTTATTAAGTAAGTAAGTAGAACATTAATGCTACAAATGGGAAGAGTTATAAGACTGCACTATTACTGGAAAGATACAGGTTGATGCACTAAAAATGTATAATAAAAAATTAAGCTAAATTTAGTTTACTAGTAGTATGTATAAAATGAAGTGCCAATAGCTATAGTTAAATAATGATTAATAATAATAATATATAGATATATTAGTTTGATAATATGAAATTTTATACAAACAACACATGGAGATTATGAGAGGAGGTTTAAAAGCTTTATCTAGAATATGTTATAAAGATGTATTGTGATTGGATGATTTAATAGACTGTTATCATATAATTCTATTCTGGATTTTGAATATTATATATAAAAGGATGTAAAAACAATTATAGCCGAATTAAGGATGAGATATAATAATTGTGATATACATGGTGACATGTTAATTTAAATTATGTGATTTGATATGAAAAGCAGGTGATGATTATGGAAGAGATGCATGGAAATATGAACTGACACACTTTCTACAATTTGTAGTGGAAGATGGTTTTTTTTATTTTTATGTTTGTCTTTGTTCAAAAATAAATAAAAATTGTTTAAATAAAAAAAGAGATTGGACTGTCATTTGTCAGAAATGTTGTAGGGTCTCCTGCTTGGGTGGGGATTGGACTAGATGGCCTCCAAGGTCCCTTCCAACTCTAATGTAATCTAAAATCTCCTGCAGCCCTTTTAAATTCAGAATTGAAATGTTTGATGGAATATAATGTCATGCAGTAGAGTGTCTCCAGCTGGGGTTTTTATCTTTGGGATGATTTGAACAATATTATGACTTTAGCTTTAGGGTGGCAATTATTCCACTAGACACAGAGCTTTCCAAATTTGGCAACTTTAAGACTCGTGGGCTCATTCTGGGAGTTGAAGTCCAGAGGTCTTGGACAGGTTGCCAAGTTTGAAGCCTCCTGTGCTAGAATATTATCTGCAGAACTTAGCAGGTCACCCAGGATGACGTTTCATCTTTTTAATCCACTGTTTCTTTGACTGCTTGTGTGATGCAACTCTTAGACGAAGAAAGGACTGATCAACCCTCAAGCAAACGTTGATTTTAAGTGAATTTCCTAAAGTCCCTCCTGCCTCGCTCTGTGCCAGCCCTCAGCACCCTTTCTGCCTCTTGGTTCGTCTAACAACTTCCACAACCTGTCATCACTTTGGGGAACTTCAGACACGTTGGAATAGCAACGGCTTTTGCTCCCGTGTTATTCTTCCTTTTTTAAATACCGTTTTTATAAAACGGACAGTAATGCCTCTCCCTACTCACTGGATCCTCACCAAATTGTTTACATTTCCTTCTCACGATGCTACAGTTGTGATTTAGCTACAATTACGTGTCCGTAATTGTCCCTTTCGGCTGGGAAGGTTGCAAACCCCGAATGCCTTTAATCAGAGGTTCCTCCTCCTCCTCATTCAATGCTGATTTGGGCTTAGAAAGAAGCTGCTGCTTAGTCAGTTACGTGGCTTTAATTACTGGGTTCTTCTAGTAATTCCTGTTCCCTCTCTAAATACCAGGCCTTCACCAAATCCCAGGTCTTTAAAGCACCAGGGAGGCGAGGAAAGGAAAGGAGTCATTTCCCCACTGCAAACGTCTACGGAGATGATTCTCCGTCATCATCCGGCTCACGGTTGTCCCAAAGGAGCTTTTTCAAGAGGCAATTGGACTTTCTGGGCATTTTTCTTTTGAAGATGTTTCGCTTCTCATCACGAGATCCAGGGTTTCTCTGCCTCCTGGTTGCAGATCTGGCAATTCTTGTTTCCTGTCCTGATGAGGCCTGGATTGCAAGATCCTGAGCACACATTATCTTAAAAGGATTGGGGCTAAGCACCCCTCCACCTCCAGGATCCAGAAAGTGGATCTTCCTCCTCGGCTCCAGCCGTCTTCTCCCTGCCTGCTTACACACTGCAAGAAGCCCCTTGAACGGCCGCATTGTGTCCCGTGTCCAGCGGTCCAGAGGATGCCCTGCCAGCTGCTGCAGTTTTGTTGGTGGCAACAGTGCCATCTTTCTGAGCCCCAGGCCAGCACAATTGGGTGCCCGCATTTTTCTTGTAAAGTGGGAGTTCCTTGTTTATTCTCCATATTTTCCTTACTTAGAGTATTGTTTTTTATTATAATTAAAAGATCCCAGCAATTAAAGGCACAAAACCTGCTAAGAAGCAGCAGTGAGTTTCTAATACAGACTCAGTGCTGAATGGGAAGTAGGAAGAATGGCCGTCTGGACACTAAGTGACAAACCTTTGTCTGAAATGGAATCAGTTTCAATCAAGGAGAATATTTGTAGTAGCTCAGGATTGAAATGAGGGGTCCTTGGTGCTTCTGAGCT